CGGGCCGAGCCGAGCCGAGCCGAGCCGAGCCGAACCGAGCCGCGGTCCGGGCAGCCCCGCTGCCGCTGCTCTGCGGCACTCGCGGGCCCGGAGCGGCTGGGGATAACCCAGCGCTGCATCTCCTCTAAGCCCGTTTTCCTCTCTCCACACCCCTCCCCTCTCACTGTGGGGAGAGAATCGAGGCCTTGGCGTCGACGTTCCCGCTGCTGCCGTTTCCAGGGGAGGCTGTGTTTTAAATTAAATGGAGCATTTAACCTGGCCTCTTCATTAAATAGGATGAAAATCCGAGTATTTGGTCCTGTGTGGCAATGGAATTGTGACTCCGCGGTGGGTGTGACGAATTTTCAGAGCGAGTTTCTCTTCCTTAGGAAGCTTTGAAAATGCCGAGCTTAAAGAAATAAAGTGTTCTTTTGACAATAATTTTATCTGAGTTATAATACCGTGTAGGGTGGAGCAGCTGGGTCTTTTTTAGGGTTGCTAGATATATCATGTTTTGGTTCAGAGACCATACAAAATTAAGCAAGCCTCAGCGTCTTTCCCTTTTCTGCTTGTTACGTGGTGATACTAGTCCCGGATAACCAAGTGTCAAGGGGTGTTTCTTGTTCAAGCAAGTGTGTTTTGGCTACAGGTATGGTCAAAGCTGGTCTTGTGAAAGGAGGGATGAACGTAGTTGCTTGTTTGTCATCAATGTGCAGTTGATAAGCCACGGGATGGGCAAAAATAGCAGCAAGTGCCCAGTGCAGTCCCAGAGAACTTCCTCTTTTAAGCTTGACTTTAACCTATTACATGTATATTGTAAGGAGTAGAATGAATTATTTTTTTTTTTAGTAACTATTCATTTTCTTCCATAGAGTGCAATAATAGCAACTATGTACACATGATTTTTAAAATTATTTTTATTTTTTGCAAATAGTATGATTTCCTCCTCAAAATTGGTGGTGTCTCTGCATTTTCAAGTTCAGTTACTTGTTTCATCTTGTATTAGCACTTGCCAGATTACTTTGAAGTCTTGCATTTGGAAATGACAGTCAGACTGTTGCTTTAATTCAAATTCAGCCTCATTGGAAGGACAATTTTTAGCCTTGCTTCTGTATTTTAGATTAATTTTTTAACTTAGGTTTAAAGTGTGTTCTGTTAAGTATTTAGAAGGGAAATTTTCAGTGTTTGACCAAACAGTAGGCAAATACATGCACTTATGTTTGTTTACATGGCTGAAATCCATAATGGAAAGTAATTATTTTAATATTATACAAATATGCTATTTAGGGGGTTTGTGTATGATGCTTATCTGCTTTCTAACTGTTTCAGAGTGCTGATGGAACTGAGCTGACAGCCAAGCCAAAGAGAAGCTTCTACGCAGCAAGAGATTTATACAAGTACCGACACCAGTATCCAGTAAGAATATTTTATGGTTTAAAATTGCCTTTTCAGTAAAAAAACATTTTTAAACCTTTGTGTTGTCCAGTAAATATGAGAAATGAGAACCAAAAAGCTGATACGGAGGCACAACATATGCGAGTGGGAGAGAAGCAATGTCTTTCCATCCTGGACAAACATTCAAACACATGATATGGGTAAACCTGGGAAATGTGGTAGGAGCCCAGGAGAAGGCTTCTGCCTTGGATATCAAAGTTGGTAGATTCTAGAGTATGCCTGACTGATTATTTGTCTCTCAAGTTCCTTCAGACTGGAGGGAGGGTTCTGCTATGTTTGCTGCTGCCTCAGTAGGAGAATGTACCAGTCAGAAAGAACTTTCAGATCTTTAAACTGAGTCTTGAGTATGAGTAGAACTCTGTGGTTCCTAAAACTCTGAAATTTTTTGTCCTTAAATTATTCAAAAAGCCCAATATCACTTTCTATATAGTCTTGGTAGGTTTTTGCAGGCTGATAATGTCCTATTTCCTTTCTTTTAGCAGAACTTTAAAGATCTTCGGTATCAAAATGACTTGTGCAATCTGCGGTTTTACAAAAATAAAATCCCATTTAAACCTGATGGTGAGTAATCTGCGACAATAACAGTGATAACAAAAGAATGCTCACTAATGATAGTAGCAAATTGAAACAGTGGTGATAATTGAGGCAAATTAAAGGTGTATAGTAATATACTGTAGAGCATGAACCACCCATGTCATAGTAGCACATTGATAAGCACAAGTTTGTGCTTAAAACAGTGTTAGCATTCACTCTAGGAAGGTGGTGCTTTTCTTCATGAAGTAGTACAAAGTATTGTTAGTACCACTGTCTTGTGGCAATACATTTATTAAACAAAGAAAAAGTTCTTCCACTATATTGCACAAACTTGCTGTTTGAATAGGAGTGGCAGCAATCTATGGGTGTTACCCCTAGAACTGTGTAAGGGGAAAAAAATGTGCTTTAGTCTTGTGTGAGATTATTGTAATAACAATAATAAAGTGATTTTTCAGTGTCCTTAGTGGTTCTGGTAGTGGAGCAGGAATCTTGTATGCAGCATTCTGCACAAACACAGGAGAAGCTGAAAGATAAGCCCTACTCTAGAGAGTTTGCAGTCAGCGTGAGAGACAATAGGATAGCAGACAGATTGGGAAGCAGGAGGAGGCAATAAAGCAATCTTGGTTAGGGTGGTGGACAGGAATCTCAGGACACAAGAGCTTAGCCATTAGCAAGAAAGACAAACTGAAGGCCAGAAATAAGATTTTCTGGGTTTTAGAAGAGTGATGATGAGGTTACTTTGAAGGTATTTGTAGAAGGATCCTCTCAGCATGAGAGCAGCTTGGTAGGAAATAGTGAAGTGTGCACTGGAGTGCAGGAGTGAGATGTGTAGGCTGCCTCTGAGGCAGGATCCTGTTGGAAGCAGGATCAGTCTCATAGCAACAAATGGGTTCTGATAAGGTAGTAAGGGACAGGTCACAGAGGCTTTGGAAGTGAAGGTGTGTAGTTCTTGTTTGATGTTACAGGGCAGGGTTCCACAATGGAAGGATGCAAAGCAAAAAAAAAAGTGAGACAGTATGAAAAAGTAACAGTCTAGAAAGTCAATCTTCCCAGCATTCAGGGTAGCTGCCTTCAGCAGCATTCAGAGTAGGTGTTAGCATGACAAGAAAGCACTTTACAAGGTCAGGAAAAAAAAGAGTTGAGATGCAACTCAACTGTGTGAGAGTTCAGATAGGAAGCTGGATGGAAAAGAATGTTACACAGAAGGTTATAAAAATGTACATATAGGGAAGTTGAAGGTGAGAACTGTTTATAGACAAGATAGCAGTAATACCCTTAGCAAGTGAGAAAATAACTCAGGTTGTGAAAGAAAGATAAGACTTTTGATTTAACTGGCTTGAGCTTTATCTAGATACCCATAGGCAGATGCTTTTAGTCAGTTTTAGTTTGACTGCAAGAAGTGGGTCTGTGAATTGCCAGTAAAGAAGTAGCAGATTTGGGAGATGTTACACAGAGAGCAGATATAGAAAGAAAGTGAAGGGCACTGAGGTCTGTGTGAAACTGGGGACCATATGGCTCTGAAACTAGAAGGCAGAAAAGGTTGTGGGGAAGAACTCCTTTAAATCCCAAAATGAAAGAACAGTTCAAGAGGATTAGTTACAAGAGGAGACAGTCATGAAAGGTATAGGAGGGCTTCACTACCAAAATTAGCAAATAACATTTCTCTTTGTATTCTGGGAGAAAACCACGTCAAAGGTAGCTGATAAGCCATGGAGGCTGACACGTTGTTGGCTGTGAGCTCTGGTTATGCACAAGTTTGTATTGAGAATGGAAAGGAGTAACCACCACCTTGACCCAAGTCTGTGGATCTGTGAGAGTGTTCAGAGGAAATCTTAGCTATCCTTAGCTAGTCCTTAGGTTAAGGACTGAAATACTGGAGAATGTTGTTTAAAAAATCCAAAACATTTCTGGTGCAATACTAGATCTGGTTTAGTTCCATGACCTACAGATTTAGCTTGTGATTCTAGATCAGAGCTGGCCTGTTTGTCTCTCTGCCCTGGGACTGAGCAGCAAGTTTTCCAGTACTTGAAATACAGGTTGGATTCAATGCAGCAATGGTGAAAGGTCCTCTTTCCAAGGTCCTTTTCCTACACTGGAAACCCCATGTACGTAGCAGCCTCTTCGACTAGCTGCTTTCTTCACTTCTTAAATAAAAGTATCAAATGCGTCCTCCTTTGCCATTGAGACCTAAATAGAAATTTTCACTGGGCGAAGAGGCATCTTAAATATATAGTAGGAGACTGTATACATGGGGCTGTGAGTTTTTCAGGCTGCTCCTATGCTGTTTGACTTTGAGAGACACTGTGCAGCTGTTGTTGGTTTCAGAATAGAAACAGACGAACACACAGTGCCATTCATGGCAATATATTGTACAGCTTTGGGAACAAGGTTTTTATGTACTTTGTGTAGTACCTGGAAAAGTGCCCTGGCCCGTGACTGAATTTCATGAGCACAGTCTCAGTGTAGTGCTTAGCCACCATTAATTAAGAGAGATTTCCAATCATAATGGTATTTGAAGCTGGAGAGATTCCTGGTATGAGAGAGTTGAGGCTTAGAAGATTGGATGGATGGATGGATAGATAGATGGATGGATAGATAGATGGATGGATGGATGGATGGATAGATGGATGGATGGATAGCTGCAGAATTTTGTCTTGTAAAAGCAATGACAGGTAATTCACAGTGCAGTATTTTATGGAAGCAGTTTTTTAATTCCCAGTCCGTGTGATAAAGGGATCTCATGGGAACTCTTAGATATATTTTACATAGTTTGCTGTCACATACCTTCACTTGTTAGTAACCCAGTATGTCAGCTGGTTTTGTTTATATTGACACTTTATAAGTACCTTATTTTTTAAAATAAGTTTTAGTAACTAAATTAGTTGTAAATTAAAATTTATTTATGGCTTCAATAGACCTTATTTCACATAGTATGTGAAAGACAAAGTACATGTTCTATCATTATTTAAACATGCATGTACTTTATGTAGCTGAATGCTGGTTTTGATGTCTACCTAACATTTTTCAAATTATTTTTGTGCAGGGGTTTATATTGAAGAAGTCCTAAATAAATGGAAAGGAGACTATGAAAAACTGGAGCATAACCACACTTACATACAGTGGTTGGTCAATTATTACCTATTTATGTTTCAAAGCATTAATTCGATTAAATGTTCTTATACTGAGCCATAATGCACTTATTGTTTTAACAGGCTTTTTCCACTGAGGGAACAAGGTCTGAACTTCTATGCTAAAGAATTAACTACATATGAAATTGAGGTAATACAAATTGATCTCCATACAAACCATCACAATAATTTTAAATAAATAACTGCTTTTTATTATGTAGAGCTGTCTTATACAATGCAGATGTACTTGCTTTAGTGCCACTTAGAATTTTGGACATATTCTTTGTCCATTAGGAATTCAAGAAAACAAAAGAAGCAATTAGAAGATTCCTTTTGGCTTACAAAATGATGCTGGAGTTTTTTGGAATAAAACTAATTGATAAAACTGGAAACGTAGCACGAGCTGCTAACTGGCAAGAAAGATTTCAGCATTTGAATGAGTAAGTAATGACATGCACTTCACTTGCTAGAATTGCTATAGAATCTCTTTATGCTTTTGTTTTCTAGAGAAAGCAGAGATATTTTTTCCAAAGACTGCCAGGAAAAAAAGAAAAGGAAAAATAAATAGTTGATGCTTGGTTTATGCCTCTATCTGTATGTTCCTCCTTCCCCTTTTTTGATTGTTTTTCTCACCCATTACCAGTTGGATTGACATTATTGAATTCTTTGAAAACACAACTTTAGATGGTGCTGAAGAAGATGTTAGCTCCAAATTAATTTGTCATGGTACTGAATTTGTTTTCACCCAGTCCCAAAGTGCTGCTTCTTACATGGAAAAAAACAAGTGGCTTATCTTTTTATTTACATTTCTTTTTGAGAAAGATCAAATTCTCCACAGCTGTATGAAAGTTAAGTAACAGGATTTCCCTCCCTTCTCAAAACATGAAATACTTTGTATTTAAATATTTTTAACTGAAATACTGATCTGGAAAAGTTTAAACATGTTATGTCAAACCTTCGCCCAATGTTCAGAAAATTCTATCAGTTGCTCTTCATTGGTATTGTGTGGATCCTAAGTTTGCGTTGAGTTTTGTCTCATACAGATTAATTGTACCAAAACCTCTTTTTGAATCTTGTGCTCACTTTCCTAGTATCTCAGACCTTAGAGCTGTAGATTGTTTTCTTGCAGCAGTTTGTTCTCCTGTCACAATAAAAGCTTGTAGGTACAATTGCTGATGAATCCAGGTGAATAGTAGGAATAATTTGTTAATAATTTTACTTAAACATTGTATGAGCCAATATGGGTGTGATCTCAGACTCAGGCCACAGATTAAAGAGGTTTTCAGGAAGCCCAAACATTACTTCATGGTTTCACTCCTGTTCTTTACAATGAAAGCTACAGTTTTAAGTCAGGATTTGGGACTTTCTTAATGTAATTTTATCCATCTAAAATTCAAACATAAAAGTTTTACTGCATACTAAGGTGTGCTTTACAAGGGAAAGACCTTTTCACAAGTACTTCCAGAAGGCAATTTGTTAATTTTCTCTTAGATATTTCCTACAACAGTGGGACTTACTCTCCAGAGATGCCTGTTTTTCCTCTAGCACTGACTGTATCAGTACAGGTGCTAGTCTAGACTGGAGACCCAGCTTTTAAATAACTTGCATGAAGTGCAATGAACCCTGTTCTGTAGCTGCACTATAAATACACTACAAATCCTTTCATTTACAAAGTGACTGGGTTTTCTCCCCAGAAAGAGAACAGCATAGAATCACTAAGGTTGGAAAAAAATCTGTCAGATCTTTGAGTCCAATCTTTGACCAAACATAACCATATCAATTAAACTGTTGCACTAAGTGCCACATCTGCTCATCTTTTGAACACTTTCAGGAATGGCGATTCCACCACTTCCCTGGGCAGCCTGTTCCAATGCTTAACCATCCACATGGTACAGGCTGAGGCTATTTCCCTTTGTCCTGTCACTTGTTGCCTTGGACAAGAAACCAACTCTCCCCTTGCCACAACCTCCTTTCAGGCAGCTGTAGTGAGCAGTAAAGTCTCCCCTGAGCCTTTGTTGCTCCAGAATAAACAATCCCATTACCTTTTGCTGCTCCTCATAGAATTTACAGGTTACAGACCCTTCACCAGCTTTGTTTCCCTTCCCATACAGCAGAAGGAACCAAAATCAGTACACATTTGATTTTATTTTCTCTCAGCCCTCTCCCCCAGTGCTTTTTACAAACATTAATTTTCACTCACAACATCCTAGCAAAGGAGGTGCTGGTAAGCTTCAGCAGTTTTGAGAAATTAAAATACAGGAAGTCTGAAGTACATACCTGAAGTGATAAAAAGAACTGAGGAATTGCAGTTCCAGTTCTGTATTTGTAAAGTGGGTTTTTTTCTGATTAAATAGAATTTTTTTTACCTGTTTCTTTCAAAGGTCTCAACATAACTACTTGAGAATCACTCGAATTTTGAAAAGTCTTGGTGAACTTGGATATGAGAGTTTCAAATCTCCCCTGGTAAAATTTATTCTGCATGAAGCTCTTGTAGAAGATACCATTCCCAACATTAAGCAAAGTGCTCTAGAATATTTTGTGTATACTATTAGAGACCGAAGAGAAAGGAGGAAACTGCTGAGATTTGCCCAGCAACATTATACACCCTCAGAGCATTTTATCTGGGGACCCCCAAAGAAACAGAAGTCAGAAGGAAGCAAAGCAAATAAAAAGCCAGCATCTCCGGTTTCTATTCCCAATAGTCATATTTCTAAGCATAAGAAACAGAAAGAGCCTAAGAATGCATCGGCAAGTGGAAGCTCAGCTGGTAAAATAACTGAAGAAAGAAAGGTAGAATTCACAAAAAATGGGGAAGAAAATGATCAGGATGAGCAAGAAGCGAACTGTGATGCTGTTAGGGAGAACAGTGAAAAAAACAGTGATGATGATACTGGTCAGCTTTCAAAATCAGAAGAAATTCATGATAATTCAGACAGAAAGGAGGACGTTTCTCATTCCAAAAAAGATGATGACAGTTTGAACAATGACTGTGGAAATCACCCAGGCGTTATAGAGGAAGATAAATGTAACACGGAGAATTCTGCAAGTGATACATCAGCTGATCTCCAAGATAACCTTGATAAGGAAACACTTTCAGAGGGGATCACCACAAAAGCTAAGGATGAGCTCAAACTATGAGTATGAGGTTTAAAAAAAATCTTTGTTTCACTTTGAATGAAGCAAATTATTCATTGCTTCTTCATTTTGGTTGATATTTCCATCTAGTGTAAATTCACAAGACTATGCTTGTTGCAAATGCATCAGATTAGGCTTCTGTTAGGTTAATGAATTTTGGTTTTTTCACCCTCAGTTTATCAGCAGGCAGGCAGGTGTGTCTCTTTAAAACAATTGTGTGTACTGAAAGCTAAGAAATTCATTATCTTTTCTGGACAGATTGCACAGAAAAGCTTATCTACTTTTTAAAATTCATCCAGTATTAAAAAAGAAATAAATAAAATTAAAGTGTAACAACTAAAAAGCCTTGGAACATTAGAATTTTAAAGCTTCCTTGAAGTTTACTTTTTGTTTTACATTTAGGAAATTAGTAGAAATTATTTCAAAAATACAATTTTTTACCCTAGTGGTAATTTTTTTTAGGAACTATGGTCATGATTAATAGCAGTATTTGCACAGTATCTTTTACCTTAGATTAGCATCTTTGTTGGAGGTACTTAACGATGGATAGCATACATCATGTCCTGTACATCTGGGAATCACTGTACATTGAGTAAAAGTTTTAACTTACAAAGGAACTGTATCCACAGCTTTTGGATACAAGGGAAGTTGCACTTTAGAGTTTTTAGTCCTAGTTAAATTCTTCTTTCTCTCATCTCATTTGTTACAACTAATCTAGGGGGAGGGATCACTTTGATCTCTCAAAGTTTCATCTCTGTTTGAAAGCTCTCTGTTGAATCAGCTGTAATTAGACAACTCTCCCAGCTGGCTTCAGCACCTGGAAGGCTTCTGGACAGCTGAAATGCAGTGTCTTTACCACAAAACATTCCCTGATAGCAAAGCCATCAGAGAAAAGGGCAGCAGGCTCATCAAGTTGGGTCTTTAACTTCAATGTTTCTTGGCCAGTTTTGGGCAGAATCTGCACAATGCAGTCAGCTGTTGCTGGTCTCAGAGACAAAGGCAGGCCTGATGCTTCTTTCCAGCAGTCTGTTTCCTCTCTTTGCTCTCATAAGTCTCTTACAGTTTTATATTATTTCGATAATCAGTGGAAACTTAAGGCAGGCCAGTCTGTTGGCTGGACTGGAGCCCATCAAGTAGGAATTTGGCTATTAAGATCTTTCCCAGCTTCTGCTGAAGAACTGTCTGCTCTCTCTGAGTAGCGTCTTCTGATTTTCTGCTGTTCAAGTCAAACAATAGTACCCAGCACGTTAGTTGTGCAGAATATGGCTTAAAAAATAATGCAGGTACAGTTCACACTTCCTACAGTCCTAAAATATTCTGAAACTTCTTATATGTATTTTCTGTTTCAAAGTGTACATATTATCCACTGCCTTTAATGTATGTCTTATTAAATGTTATGAGGCAAGAGGCTGACTACATTTTGAGTGTCAAAATGCTACAGGACTTTATTGAAGGCTTATAACTCTAAATGATGAACTTTTCAGGGGTTTCAGATCATAGACAATATGTTCTGTGTTCTGTTTTGCTAATGCCCATCATGGCAATTCATCATCCTTTTTTTTTTCTCTGGGTAGCGCTGGTTCTTTGGATCAGATAGTGGCAGTGAGGGATCTTGGTCCCTATGGAAAAAGAGTAGGCTTTTTCCATTCTAAGGAAGCAAAGAAGGAAGATGTATTTCTCTTTTTGTGCTAACTTGTGAGGAAAGGAACTTATATACATGGATTTTTTTTTTTGGGTAACATGGATCATTCAAGTAGGCATTAAGTCTGTTTGAGAACTCCCAAAGAATTCCAGCCACCACATTTTTAAGGCCAGAAAGATCCTGAGAAGCCTTTGACAGTTCCCTGGACATGAACTGGGATTCCCTTGTTTGTGTTTGCCTCTGACTTTCAGAACAGAAGGGGAAGTGCTGTGATAAAACTGGTCTGTGTAGTTAAGGACTCTGCCCCTCCACATATGCAAAGGGAGGACACTTCATTTTCTGCCTATGACTGTTTCAGTCTTGAGTGCCTAACTGTGCAAACTTCATAGAGTTGTTTTGTAGTTATTTTTTGAGTACCATAGGGAAAATTAATACTCTGTGTATAAGGAACATAACTATAGCATAGGAAGCTACACAGAGCCTTCATTTTCTGAACTTTAGTATTAATGTGAATCACTGTACAGAAAATGTGGAGTATTGAAGTGAATGCTGGAGGTGTTATTATATTTATAGTGTAATTTGATTGAACGTCAATGACCTCAGGAGATCTTTTGTCAATCTGACAGAGCTGTCTGCATTAAGGGGCCAAGGTATTTGAAAATATTGTCAAAAACTTTCGTACTTACACCTGTATATTTTTTTTTATCTGCAACTCAGTATATTTCTCTGTGTTTTAATAGAAGAGTAGTGGCATATCAGTTGCCTACAAAGAACTATAGGGACTATGTAAGTGAGGGCTTTTGTGTCAGGTGGGCTCCTGCACTCTCTAATCCTTGTTTTACAGCTTTATCAACAGAATTACTCCCATGGGACACTTCAGCTTTAACTAACAAATTCTGCTCTATGTAAAATGTGACAGTGTTTCATTCTTTTCATAGAGGAATTGTTCCTTCTGATTTTGCAAGTACTGAAAAGAGGGATTTATTGCAGGGCAGTCATACAGCGTAGCCTCCCATTGAGATTTGCGAGGATCAAGTGGGTGCACTGTATGCATTTTTGTTACAGAATCATGGCCTTAGCAACCAAAGCACCCCCTGCTTGAAGTTTCTAAGTATTGGTTTTCAGGTTTACAGTATATATACAGTGTATATATATGTGTTGAAATGATTGTATCCTCATAGATGCCAGTACATAGTTGTTTAACCATTACTTCAGAAACTGAGGGTGTGCAAAGAAAGTCATTTGCTTACTGTTAAATTTCTTTTTGTCTTGCTATGTGCTTAAGTATTCAGGGATTTCTGTGTACTTATTACAAGAGTGTATTTTGGCCCAGTGTTAGATTAGAATCTGAGCTGTTCATATGTTTATTGAACAGAACCTTCCATATGAAGGTTCTTTCCAAGTAAGTACATCTGAATAGCCTCTGGTACTGTTAAGTGGGAGTAGTGTGTACGTGCACATACCTGTGACTTTGATTTTGAGGCTCTTATGGTGAGGGGATATAAATGTACAATTTGAAACAAAGTTACTGAGTACACAGATGAGTACACACAAGGCGATCATACAAATCATGCAAAAATGCAGCACTTTAAGGTTAATTACAGCTCTGTGCCCTACTATGCCAGACACAAGTGTGCCTCGGTACCTCATACTGTGTTGCTGTAGAGACTGGAGGCTTGGGTACATGAGGTGTGCAGCACAGACCATTCACAGCAGAAGAGTAGTTACGTGTGTCAACATATCTAGGAGCAGGTCTGAGGTCTTTGTGTTCATGTTGCTCAAATAAAATCCTGAAGGATTCTAAAAATAAGTGCAATAATCCTTTGGGAGCTGTTCCCTGGCTTGGATCAGCTCCTCAGTTTCTGGCTCTAAGATTGCAGCACTCTAATGTATTAGGTATTTGTATAATCATCGTTAATATTTCATGTAACCTAGTGAAAGCCTCCCTGAGCTACTCCAGGATAATTCTAATAATCTGCAGTTGCATATAGCTGTACTATAAACAGAAGGTTTACATACCTTAGAAACTTTGTACAATGTTGAATGGATGATCCAATGAGGTAAGACAAGTGACATTTACTGGATTTAAATGGAAAACAGCTTGTTTGTCTTTAAATAAAATTTATGTCTATCTGTTTAATTGAGAGGTTATTTTACACCTTTCTTTTTCTTACTGTTGTGATGGTACTGATCACAATTTATAGTTATATATGTTTAAGTGAAAATGTAATTTTTTTACACCACACTTTTGCAGGAAACATACAATATTGAATTTCCTGGACAAAAGCTGTATTTCTGAATAAGATGCAAGTATGTGAAGCAAGTTTTGCCATTAATAAAAGTGTGACAATATCATGCTGATGATGTATGTTGTCCTCAGAATTGCCAGTGGGGATCAGAACCAAAGATGTTTCTAGCTTTGTGTCCTGCCTCCAGCAGTGGCCACCAAAAGATGCTGTGAAACAAAGAAATTATACAGTGACCCCATTTGTCTACAGGAATTTTTTGGTTTTGAATTCATGGTTTCTTTCAGCCTCTACAATCCCTTGTAGCTGTGAGTTCCATGTTTTAATAATGTTTTGTGTGGTGAAGGTGATCTCTTATTTTTGCCAGATCAGTTTATTCAAGAATTGCTACTGCATTTGAACACAGTACTAAAAGTTCTGTAAGGTGAAGTGTAGTCTACTTCAAATCAGTTTTTAAATGCCATGGGAGATTCTAATGACAAAATACCTGTTTAGACAGAAGATGCCCCATGTTTCTTCTGTTTTTAGGCAGAAGATGTCTGCTTAGGCAGAAACTTGTCCTAAGTTGGTGACAATGCTACCTTACTTACTTCTAAACACATTTTTGCACATAAATCCTTTTGTAGACTAGTGTTAAAAGTGTAGAATAAGTGTTAAAAGTCAGATTCCAACTGCAGAGCAGGGTTGATTTATTCTCTTCTTACCAATGTGAAAGCAAAATCAGTCAAATGAAAAACCTATTCCTACCCCACATGGGTGAGGTACCTCTGGATTTGGAGCTACCAGGATCAATGAATATATAACATTGGGATCACATAGAAGGTGGAAATATTGTCTGGGGTTTGTTGAGAACTATACTCATCATTCTACATTTGTTTTGATACAAGTTCACACTTCTAATTGTAATTGGAGTAACTGGTCAAAAGGTGCTTTTGATGATTATCAGAGTCTGAAAACGAGGGATGGGTCAAAAAAGGCCTACATATATACAGTCCCCTTCAATTCACATTATGTCAACACCATAGATTCACTGCTTACAGATATTTACATACAGTTCTTCAGGCACATTGTGTTTCTGTAATATCTTTGTGCTCAGCATTGGCTATGAATTGTTTCTTTTCCTGAAAGCTGTGTTCCCTTTTCAGCCCTTGTTCTTAAGTACACTTAGTTAAGACCTTGGTGAAAGCAAAAATTTACTTTTAAGAATAGGTTTATTACATGCTGTATGTAATGGACTCCTAAATGTAGTTCAAAAGCTATAGAGATCAATAGAGACCTCGTCTGGCTTTACACTTGTAATCACTTCTACATTTATTTTCAAAAGCATTATGATGTTTGCTGTAAGATAAAAAAAAAAATGTGATAATTGGCAAATCGTTCTGAAAGAAATCTCTTCTTAGAAATGTGGCTCTTTAATTCTACCATGCTTACAAGTTCAGTGGTGTATTCATCAACTAAAGTTTACTGTGAAA